TGCTGGTGCCCCGCCAGCAGGCGAGGGGATCCAAAAGCAGTTGCTGGGTGTGGAGGCCACAGGGGCATAGGCTACCAAGGAGACAGAGCTAAACCTCACATCACCCTATTGGCCCAGAGGATGGCTGTCAGTCAATGACGGGTAAGACCCCTCAGGGAGGGGCAACCTAAGACAGGCACAGTTGCAGGGGGCCTCAGGGAGAACTTGGGGGTCAACAGAGGTGGGGCACAGATCCTCACCCCCCCAACTATGCAGGGGCTTGAACACTCGCCCCTTCTGAGGGAGGTCTCCTGCCCCCATGGCTGCTGCGCTTCCCATGCCCAGCTCAGATCGGGACCCAGATAACAGAAAGAGACTTAGTCCAGCCGAAATCGATACCCAGATAACAGAGACTTGGCTAACAGCAACTACCCTACATCTAAATCCAGCTTAACACCAGGAAGACTCAGGGCCTTCTCAAGGATACAAAATAATCCTTTTAATTAATATTTACAATATAAACTAAGATTATTATTATATTATTAAATTTAACAGTCAAATAGTAGTCAAGTTTTCAGATTAATTAAAACTAGCTCAAGAAGTATTAACCAAAATTTTCATTTCATGGATAAATTGCTTAACATACTATAAACCTAAAACAGTCATATTTTTACACAAAAAATTAAAATTAAAACTTGTCAAGACTACACTAAAAAATTTCCAAAAACCTCCTAATATTAAAAAATAAAAAAGGGAGGATAGTGGAATAATAAGCTTTAAAGTAAATGCCTTAATTGCTTTAATATTTTTACTTGAAAATTAATTTTTTCATTTATAATGCTAATAGCAAGACACCCATGAAAAACATACGTGGTGTCAAAATAAGCCAAAGGAAAATCGTTTGGACAAAAATTAAAAGAATCCCAAGTCTAAATTATAGATAAGATTCCTTTATTAACCTTTGGTCGAGAATACGTTTGTATACTTTCAAAAAACAACTCCAAGACCATGTGGATTCCTGCAACAGAGAGGAATTATCAGGACTGCTCCAGCCACAGAAAGCAGTGGCCCCGTGAGACAACGAGAAGAGAAGCAGTCCAGAAATGAAGATGGTGAAGACGCCTTATCAGGCTAGCGGTCAGCAGCTGTGCATCGCTGCAGGTTGCCCGGGACCAAACCAGAGAGGGTCGAACCTACGTTGACACCATTTGTCCACCATCCAGAACTGAAATATTACTGCTGACATGTACACATAAGGAACTGTCGGACACTGAAACATGAACTTCGCCTAAAAAACAAAGAAGGGGGATCTGTTGGGGGCCAGACGTAAGCTGGCAAGGTCCTTGCACCTGCAGGGGCTAGCAAGGCCGGGACCCTTACCCACACAGTTTTCCCAGACTCGTTTGGATGGCGATTATCAGTAGAACGAGAGTAACATTTGTAGAATGAAAACAGCCTTTCGTGGCTTACCAAGAAGTCTGTCACTATTTACTGAGATCTGCTGTACTGAGAACTTGTCCTTCTGCTGTGTCCCTCCCTTAGAGATGAAGAGGAACAAAGAGTACATTCCTCTTGACAGACTCCTGTTCAGTGTGTTGTGTATAAACAGGATTGTATAGCTAATAAACTCGCTTCAGTTCATCAAGAGAACTGGGGTCCTCCCGACCCTGCTTTCCTGTCTTTCTTTTCTCAATTCCCACCTCCCTGCCTCAGCCCGGCTCAACCCTGTCAGGCTGGCCCTGACAGTGAAATATTTCCTGTTGCTCACACCAAACAAGTCAGTCCAAGACGGATGACGTGGCCATCGGCTGCTAAAATATTTGCTGCTGGTATCAGTGGAGAGACATGGTGCAATTATAGTCATCAGTCATTAGCAGATGTTGTAGTCCGTTATTAATAACTAGAAGCTCGGTGCACAGATCCGTGCACCGGTGAGGTCCCTCGGCCTGGTCTGCAGGGATGGGGCCGAAACCGGCTCTCTGACACCCCCCGAGGGTCCTGGATGGCGAGAGGGCGGCTCTTGGGCGACTCACCCTGGAATCAGGCTGGTGCGTCACCCTGAGAACCGCAGCTGCCAATCACCGCACTCGGCAGCTCCTGTGCTGAGCGTTTGCCCCCTGGTGGTCAGTGTGCGTCACAGCGACCGGTCGGACGGCTGAATGGTCGGCCGGTTGGCCGGTTGCTTAGGCTTTTATATATATAGATTATGTATAACAGGATATTGTAAAAACTAAGTTATGAAATTTTTAGAATATATTTTATTGAATTTTTACGGAGAGGAAGGGAGAGGGATAGAGAGTTAGAAACATCGATGAGAGAGAAACATCGATCAGCTGCCTCCTGCACACCCCCCACTGGGGATGTGCCCACAACCAAGGTGCATGCCCTTGACCGGAATCGAACCTGCCGATGCTCTTGCCCCCTACTGGGGATTGTGCCTGCAACCTGGACATGTGCCCTTGACTGGAATCAACCCTTGACCGGAATCGAACCTGGGCGGATGCTCTATCCACTGAGCCAAACCAGTCAGGGCAAGTTATGAAATTTTTATTAAAACGTTTCTTACATACCGTTATATTGGCTGGGCCGCAGAAATATTTGTTGTGGGCTGCATGTGGCCCACGGGCCGCGAGTTTGACATGCTTGCCCTGGAGACCCCTCTCTGAGTTGGGCTCATGCACCTGGGACTTGGGAACAAGAGCTGAGTCTATCATTTCCCTCCGAGAAGGAACCACTGCCCCATGCCCCAGCTTGGAGGGGCCCGGACAGGTCTCCTGGCTCTGCCCATGTCACCGCCACGCCCCAGCCTGGGGGTGCGCCGGGGCACATTCCTGAGACCCCACTGCTCCCCCGCATCCCCAGCAGCCTCACCTGCTCCCTGTGCCTGAGCCTCAGCTGAAGGGCTGGGAAATGAGGCTGAGCAATCTAGGCGGGCTTCCCGGAGGAGGTGGGCCCCAGAACCCTTCAGCCCACTGGGGGAAACTGAGGCTAGCCCCCCGCAGCCTCCAGGATGGCCGGTTTGTCTGAGCAGATCTGGGCTGGACCGCTCAGCAGTCAGAGTTGCAACCAGACTGGCCTCTGGTCCAGGCTTCAGGTGCCTCGAGCTTCAACCAGTGCCTGGCGCCTCCGCTCCAGCCCTCCCCACAGGATCCCGAGGCTGGGAGGGTGACCGGCTCCCTGGACTCTAAGCCATGGGCAGTTCTGCAGCTGCAGCCCACAGGGTGTGGGGCACCCAGGCTGCTGGAGCCCCACCAAGCGCCTGGTTGGCCAAGCCGGGAGGAGGCTCCTCCTAACTCCCAGAAAGCATGTGTGGGTGCCCGTCCTGACCCACAGACGGGTTCCCAGGCGGCTGGGTGCTGACGCCTGGTGCGTGTGGCCCTGTCCAGGCAGGTGTGGGCTCTGGGGCCTGGAGGCTTCATGGACCAGGGACTTCACCCCACTCCCTCCAGGGAACCCAGCCCAGCTTTAAAAGCCCGTGCCCGTGCCCGTGCCCGTGCTCGTGCCCGCCCAGTGGCTCAGTGATTGAGCGTCGACCTATGAACCAGGAGGTCACGGTTCGATTCCCGGTCAGGGCACAGGCCTGGGTTGCGGGCTCGATCCCCAGTGTGGGGTGTGCAGGAGGCAGCCGATCAATGATTCTCTCTCATCATTGATGTTTCTCTCTCTCCCTCTCCCTTCCTCTCTGGAATCAAGAAATATATATATATGTATAGCCCTTGCCCATCCCTCTCCCCAGGAAGCGGGAGGTGGGAGGGGGTTCAGCCAGGAGCCAAGGGGTGCAGCAAGGGAACAGTCCTGGGCCAGGTCCGTCTTGAGCATGGGGGTCCCCTCTTGAGCCCACCTCTGGGCACTGCCCACCCTCCATGACTCAGGGCTCCATCTGCCACCCACACCCGGAGCCCTCCCTGTTGCCCTCCTGCTCACACCTCTTCGCTCCAGGCCTGGCGGCCACAGGTTTTACATAGATAACATTTCAGATCTCTGCTCTGCCCACACCCGGCCGGGGATGCCTGCATGGCGATTCTGGGCTAAAGGGCACAAACACTTAGGAACCCCCCGCCCCCCAGGTCACCCCCACACGAGCCTCAAGCTTCAATCAATGAACTCCAAGTGGTCAGGAGGTGGGCTCCACTACATTTTTTTTAATTTTAATTTTTCTCTTTTTTAAAAAAAAATACTTTCATTGATTTCAGAGAGGGAGAGGGAGAGAGAGAAACATCAATGATGAGAGAGAAGCATTAATCAGCTGCCTCCTGCACGCCCCCAACCCAGGATTAAGCCCACAACTGGGGCCTGTGCCCTGACTGGGAATCGAACCCTGACCTCCTGGTTCATAGGTCAAGGCTCAGCCACTGAGCCACACTGGCCGGGCTCTACTAAATAGTTTAGAAATAGACTTTGTGCCCTGGCCGGTTTGCCTAGTGGTTAGAGCGTCGGCCTGCTGACTGAAAGGTCCCAGGTTCGATTCCGGTCAAGGGCATGTACTTGGGTTGCGGGCACATCCCAAGGGGGACAGGAAGTGTGGCCATGTGCAGGAGGCAGCTGATCAATGTTTCTCTCTCATCATGTTTCTAGCTCTCTATCCCTCTCCCTTCCTCTCTGTAAAAAATCAATAAAATATATTTTTTTAAAAAAGAAATAGACTTTGTGCCCTGGCCGGTTTGCCCAGTGGTTAGAGCGTCGGCCTGCAGACGGAAGTGTCCGGGGTTCGAGTCCGGCCAAGGGCATGTGCCTGGGTTGCGGGCTCCTCCCCGCCGGGCCCTGGTCGGGG